AGACCAAACNTCTCTGAAGAAGATCTTTACGACCACTTCAGGGTTTTCCTCTCTTGTTTTTGACGGAAGTCCAGCGATGATAAGATTTCTCCTCCTGGAGTAGATTTCCTGCATCAGAAGCTTGCCTTCTAGTTCCCGAATCTTTTGGCGAAGTCTGCTTTCGATTGATGGAATTGTCGTCTCCTTTATTTCTATGCAGTCCTCAACGCAACTTGCAACTGATATTTCCATGTCATTGCACTTTTTTTCTATCTCAATGATACGAGGTGTCAACGTAGCGAGATCCTTTCGGATTTCTTGAATAGAATTTTTTATCTCAGTCTGTGAGGAAGCAATGCTGCTCACTAGAGACACAAGTTTCCCCATGGTGGAGGAGGATGATTCACATGATCCTGCATTGGAGCTACTCTGGCTGTGGTCTGCAACTGTCTTATCCTGGGACGGATTCCTTTTTTTCTTATTTCGCATCATAGTTGCGTGCACGGTCCCTAGGTTTTCTTTCACTATGCTCCGGGCACTTTCTGTCTCAAGGTCACCAGGATTTAAAGGGAGACTATCACAAGAATTCAAAGCATCACATAATGCACTATCTAGGGCACCTGCGTCGTATCGGGTCTTGAAGAAGTAACTTTTTAGGTCGCGTTGACCTCCCTCTCTTAATTTTGTCTCGATTTTGGAGCGCTTCATATATTGAAGCCTCCAGCTCATTAGAGACTAAAGATAACCATGACTTCAAACTCGTCTCTCGTATTAGGCATCTGTTGCAACTTCGTTCCAACTTTTGCACTTGCCTTTCAAGGGTTATGAAGTAGGTTGTCCAGAGGGTAGAACACTTCCCTTCTCACAGGTACCCACAATGAATCGCTGTACCCCAACGGCCACCTGGAGCAAGGGAGACCACTCTATCTAAGCACCAGCACAACACGTCCGTTCTCTTCCATGTCTCAGAAATGACTCCGTCTCATGACTTTCTCATGAGGCAATCTTCATGATATAATCCCATGAGGTAATTCACGAGGTCTCACACATGAGGAATGTGTAGTTCCTCATGAGGCTTTGAAACTTCCTCATGAAGATCGAGGCCTCGTGAGACCTCATGAGGATCTCATGAGGTTTTTTCTGCAGTTCACAACGGACATGAGATGGCGACTACATAGCCGCTCTGATGAGTGTCCTCCTGATCTCACTGGAGCATCTCTCCTGTACTCTCTATGTTGTATGCATTTTTGTTTCTACAATGGGTAAAACCACCTAATTCCGGACAGTACCTAAGTTCGGACACTAACGTTTATTGTTGATAACTACTCATTCGCGAGATCGACCTCAGGGAGAGTTCTTCTTAACCCGAGATGACCATGTTAATAAGCGAAAAACTTGCGGTGGCCACGATCGTTGAGCATGATTTTGAAATATCGGGCAGAAATGAATGCCATGCCGGGCAGGGTCAACAGGGACGTACGGAGACGTCCTTACATGAGAAACGCTTTCCACGAGGTATTGTGAATTCTGTGATCAATTTTAATACCACAGGAAACTGGGAAACGTAGAGCACTGCTACAATGGAATACGCATGCCGTGGGCAGATTTCCGCCTTACTTCAGGTGTGTCCAAACTACGTTAGTTTCGAACGTCATTTTTTCGCATCTATGTTCCGACACTCACGTAATAGGAATTATTGGAAGGCATAAGGCTTCGATGGTCATCTTCTTTATCATACTCATACCTACTCAAATTGTACTACCGGATGCAAAAAATAAAGGGTGGGTTCTTTACTCCCTTTTAGCTGCTAACGGGCTTTTAGTCCTATGCTGGCAATGGACCTAAAAGGTCTTTTAGGATTAAAGGGAGTACAAGAACCCATCCAAAGTATCTGCGTCGTACCATTAGGGCGTGACGAGCGATTCACAATCCTATCCCGGCTTAACTGTCCGAACATTGGTGGTTTTACCCTAGAACAGTATGAAAGACTAGCTGGTACCCGTGAAACATTCACGTCTTCGTATTTAAGGTTAATGGATTTCTGTTTCAAAAAATTTAAATGAAACACAGTTGCAATTTTCAACGGCCATATTTCGAATCAATAATATTGCTTGCGCCCCGCCATTCCCCCCGCCCCCTCCATTAAACCAATCTCAGAATTACCCTATACACCAAAATGCAGGTTTGGTTCTATAACATTCAAATAAGACAATTTGTACGAATTCGAAACTTTCGTGTATCAGATGAAGGATGGAAGATGCTTCCAATCCTCTTAGATCTCAAATTTCCCTTTTTAGTTCCCGAGTTTAATCTCTATTGGACTGAACCGACCCACGGATCGGGCCAGCAGCTCGATCCGGAATCGAGTTTCCTGTTAGGTGCAGGCGAATACGTGTCAGAAGGATTTTTTGCAAAAAAAAAAGGGCACCTGGTTCCGTCAGCGCTCGACGCGATCACGTCATTAAATGACGTCACCCTTGGGCAAGCAGCTGGCAGCGGAACGCAGTGAACTGTGAGAACACGACAGACCCACTAGAACAGTCGAATAGCATTCAAATGAGGCAGGATTTTTTGAACCGCCAAATTTGGGGTCATTCATAAAGAGATGGAGCATGGGATTCTTCCGTCATCAGAGACCACCAACTGATTTTGAATCCAAAAAGAAACCCCAACCCCTGTGCCTATGAATAAATTATTTAGCGAGATCCCCCCGACGGAGTGAGACTCGTCTCACTCAAATGCAGGGGGTGATTTCGAGCTCCGCAGGGAATGGGGATGAGCTCTATCAGGCAGACCCTACCGGCGGATCGTTTGGCAATCGAGTTTCATGTTGTATGCAGGCGAATACGCTAGAATACGCTCAGAGGAGTCTTTTTCTCGAGCCGTTTACAGCTGCTGGCAATAAGGACGCCTCGTGCCGTCAGCGCTCGATGCGATCACGTCATTAAATGACGTCGCTTGAACCCAGAGACCCGGAGTTTAGAGGCCTAAGCGGGCTGCTGGCCGGCCCGATCGGCCCCACCAGACCCGCGTGTACGATCCACTAAAATCTCGATTCGGCAATCGAATTTCGGGTCGAGTAGTCGGGTGGTACGACGACTCGAATCAGGCCGATTGGGTCGGATTCGGAAGAGTCGACCCGTGCAGGCCTCCGGCGGACAGACAAGAGTACGTCGGCTATTATTATATAGATATTTCATTTTATAAAAAAAATTGTCCGAAGAGTTCCCTGTTCAGTGCGACTCCAGACAATTCTAGCCCACAGGACGGAATGACATTTTGAGGATGGAACAAGTGACAGTTGTTTAGCGGTATTCCTTTCTTGGTTTAAGATTACTTCACCTTTAAGGACTCGCGGGACCTTACAAGCTGAAATCCTTCGTGGCTTATGGGCCACAACAAGGCAAGTGACTCCTATATTCGAAAACCGCATGATCCCAACCTCATGAGACCTCTGTTCAAAAACCTCATGAGGTTTTTCCAGCAGGGGGGAGGAGTTCCGGAGGATTCCTTTTTTTTTTTCGTTGCGATGGGGAAGAGGTTTGACTTCCATCGTTTCTTGCCTCGATAGAAGCACGGATCTCTATCAAAATTCCATTCTCACGCTTGTGATCGGTGAGTGCGGGGGAAGGTGCGGCCATCGCAGGGAGTAATGAAACCTACCATGCCACCAATTCATCGATGAATGCACCAGAACAGTCCTAATTTTTTCTTATTGCCATTGAGAATCAATTGCCTAGCCCATTTACGTCTTTTTTTCTATTTTTCTTCGTTCTACACGGTCTTCTTTGGACATCAGCACCAGCAGATAGCAAACCTGTCGATGGTGCCATACCGGCGGTGGCCGAAACATTGGTACAGCTCTTGATTCAAACGACGTCCATGTAAAAAATTCACTTTGGGTTCACCTTAAGTAAAGAGGTAAAATGCCCCAGGGTAAGTTAAAAATGAAAAAAAAAACCTTAAGCCTGCATGCTACAGAGAAATACAGGAATATAGAGAAGGGGATTAACCATATACGTTTCGAAATCAAGGGGGTAGAAAAAATAGTCCGCAGCATGCACCTGATGAGATCGAACCGAATACTAAAACAGAAGAGAAAAAAATATTCTCAGTCTTCCCTCACTCTCCTTTCCCACTTCCTGTCTCTAATTCCAAAATTTTTTCCCCTCCCGTCTTTCATATAGTCAGTTCTAGCGTTTCCAGAATTTGATCGTGATAAGATTTGTAAGCCCATGCTGGTCACTTTGTCTTTCCGTTCCACGTCCGGACGGACTGTATTGTATTGTAGCAAACATGAAACATGGATATGTAGGCGCCAACTCTCGGACGATCACGTAGCCAGCACGTGTGTTCGGCATGTCTTATCCCCCCCCGCTTTTCTTGTTGACAAATTCTTTGTAACGGTCACAAATGACCCAACTTTATGGTACCCTCCCCGGTATAAAAACCTCCGTCTTCAGTTCGAGGGGAGGCAGTCAGTCGCTTGCACGACCCAGGCACCTCGAGCTAGGAGCTCTCTCTCTAAGCTTTTGAGCCTGCAAGAGTCTGCGACCGGACGACTCCTCCAGGGCTCGGTTGACCCGATACCATTCATGGATCCACCCATAAAGGAAGTGGAATGGCTCAGAAGGCGCTGCTCCGTTTGCGAGTAAATGGCAGCCAATCTGTCCGCGGGTCACGAATTTCGAGCTCTGTTGACATCGACGTACGTACCACCTCCTCGGTTTGACATCCACTCGAACCTCGAGCCTGGACGTACTACGACGATATAGGATCCACGACTCCGAACGACTCCCTCAGGACCTTGGTGTCTCCAGACGGCAGAATTCCAGTTGTTAATCGACTGGTCGGCTAGGTTTGATCGCTGATTCAAACCTCGAGAGGAAGTGCTACCGGATTGTAGCACCGGTAATCCCTTTCCTTACGGATAGGAAGGCCTCTGGACCTAGGTGTCTGCAGACGTTAGAATTTCCACTGTTAATCGACTCCTCACTTGAGGCTGGCACCCATTTGAGTAGAGCTCGGTTCTACCTGAGATTTCGTTGCAGCAACTGGACGAGGACAGGACGCTGGGTTCCCTCGAGACCCAGGAGTGCGGAAACATTGGAGGACAGCAAGACGTCGTTTGGAGTTCTCAACATTGGACGAAGATCTATACCTTTTGGACAGTCCCTGGATCTCATAAAGTCTGTAGTCATTGCGTAGTCAGTAATAAACCAGGCCCTTATATCCATCAGACTGCAATCGTGTTCCATTACCCACCTGCCAAATCTTTTTCTGATAAAAGTATAAGTACGCCAATCAGCCGTCTGCGGGAGATTTCCCGATTTAACTTGCATAAACGCAACGGTATTATACCGGTACTTGTCTCAATATAATGGGATATTTCCCTTCAAACACTGCGATATATCGCTATGGCTGCGATGTTGCGCCGGTTCCCGGTCAATTCCCCGACAGGACAGTTCCCCGAATGACAAATTCCCCGAACGGTCAGTTCCCCGTTTGGGATTTCTCCAAAGGAAATGGATTTGTTCCCATTTAAGTTTCCTGTCCCGCACATCATGCATGGGGGAGTGAGGGGGTGAGACTGGGATGGTAATAAGTTAAGCAATTTGACAGTGACACGTGAGAACACTTAATGATTCCTAAGCCACCCAACTTCTCCATATATAGCGCCGTTTTAGATTTTGATAGACATCTTGTCGATCGTCTCATCTCTGGCGGCCGCCCCCCAACCGAGCCGGAACCAAAGGGAAGGGGTCTAGGCAAACGGAAGGAAAGGGGAAAGTCGCTAATCTTCTCTAATCCTGGAAGGGAGGAAATCATTAAATGCTTCGCCTCCTACCTAAGGAAACTGCCGATACAATGTTAATCAGATCATTGATAAAGATTCTCACGGGAATGGGAAAAAGATGAAAAATGCGACAGAAACGATTGTAAGATAATCCTCTCGGCCGCCAGAGATGAGACGATCGACAAGATGTCTATCAAAATCTAAAACGGGGCTATATATGGAGAAGTTGGGTGGCTTAGGAATCATTAAGTGGTCAGTACTTGGACAGTGTGAGAGTTCGTGTATTCATGGAGTTCGTGAAGAGCGAAAAGGGCAAGAATGTTCTTGTTCTTAAGGCTATCTGCTCACACAGAACAAGATGAGCAAGGACGGACGAAGAACGTATTGGGAGTGCCTCTATAGAAGATACAAAGGAAACTGGAATTTCATAGCTACAACTGAAGGAGAGCAGGTTGTCAGCAGGCGAGGGCAACATAGTCATGCTCCAGAACCTGGAAAATCATAAGCCCGAAAGGTGATGACAAGGTGACACTCAACTTCCGACCCTCCTGTTTTGCCACCTCCTAGTGAAGGGAATAGCTGCTGATAGAAATGCTTCGACGCAACAAATTTGGGTGAAATTTTAGGGATATCAGTCGGAAACATACTCATATATGCAATGCGAAAGTTTCACGAAAATAACAGTTGGGAGAGAAGATCTTTAGGTTGAAAGTCGTTGGTCTTTCTTGCCATACCCTATAGGTTTTCTAAGTGAAATGAGGCAATAAGAAAGTAAAATGCGACAAGGAAAGTCAAATGTATCGCTGTGCTGTATGGGAGCGTCAAATGCCACATAAGGAAAGTCATATGTGCTGCTGTGGTAGATGTTGGACTTTAGGAAAAGAACATGTTCGACACAAGGAAAATTAAATGCGACAGGTACACAAGGTATATCAAGGTATACCAAAAGGTATAAGGGGAATGACTTCTCGTTGCATTTTCACAACGTGCGGCTTCAGGTGCATATGCATATGATGTTGCAATTAATATTATTTTTCAATTATCGATACGTCAGTGTTTGTCCTAGGAATATCCCAGGTAACACATCCACGTGGAAATGTGAAACATTGAAAGCAGTGTTACACGTCCACATTTTGAATTTTGAAACAACATTGAAGTACCATATTGATTCAGTGTGAAGATGTCATTTTCTTCAACATTGCTTCAACATTCCTTATTAATTTTGAAACAGTGTTGATGGTAACACTCATTAAATATCATTTCCACATTGCATTAACATTCATTCAACATTCCTCGATGAATCTCTGGTTATTGGGTTCCTCCATGGGGCAAAGAAGAGGTAAATTCAACATTATGAATCCATGACCTATGGATAATGAACTAGACAAACTAAGGAGGATTAATCTTCTTTAATTCCTAAAGGTCAGTACCCAGAGCGTAGAATCATGGAAAGGTTGAAAGGATGTGTCCTCTTTTGCTCTTCTAACGCCACTGGAATATTGCTTGCCTGTATGACTTGCAGAAAAAGAACAACTTCCCTTTCTTATGATTCGTGAATGGATCATTCCAGATCATTGTTTCGTTTGCTCCACGTTCCTCTATTCACATAGACTTCTATATGACAATACTAAAGCTGGACATTTAATTTGCTTCAGAATCAGATGCTGCATTCAGAACATCGTAATTCCACATTTCTCTAATATGTATGTTCATTAATTACGCAATAAAAATAATGACGAAAGCAAACGCTTTAATGCAGGATGACAGATCCCTAGTTGCATTAGGAGGCTACAGGGGAACATGGATAATATCTAGTGAGGGCTCTTGGTACTTCATTATTATCGCGCCTATGCTACATTACCATGGTAACACATAATGAAACATTGATTCAATGTTCACCTTTAATCCTCAAAATTCGCAAACTCGATCCACATTCAATCAATGTTTTTAAATATTCTATTGATCCAGTAAATGCTTTTAAACATCTGATGTAGCTTGTCACATACGAACAGTCTACAGGATACAGAAACATTGTTTCAACATTGAATCAACATCGTCTATAAAAGGATGCAAGACCACTCGAGGGGGACCGTTGGATAATAGGAAATGGTCCCTATATTTGTTTCCAAACTAAAAAAAAAATGAAATATTCAATACATAACAAAAGACGTCATGCATCTCAAAAGTTGAGGAGTCACATTTTTCCAAAATTGAAGCCATGCTGTGTCAATAGCACTCCAAAAACCTTCGGGAGAAGTCCAAGTTTTCATCATTTTAAGAGGGATTAACAATTGTGCCACATCTAAGATATGTAATCCGAATATTCCCCAATTGGAATCCACAATATGATGTGATAACATTCAATCAACATTGAAACAATGTTCACCTTCAAGTCTCAACATTCGCACACTCAATCCACAACCAATCAATGTTGATTCAATGTTATGAGTTACCTGGGATGCTACCATTATGCTGCTTCACTGCAGTGTAGTTAGCCAGGAAACTGCCATGATATATGGCTTTCGTCTGAAAAAACATAGTTTATTTAATTTATTCATTGCTGAGGTCTTGACCCCACGATGATAGTTAAGCAACGAAAAAAAAAACCAAGAATACCAGTTGAAGGTTGAGAAAATCCCCAAATCTTCCTCTCAGTTGTTTTCAATTTTCAAATCTGGCCTCCTGCCAGAATGGTGGCAGCATATTCCTAGGACTACCTGTAACTCGGACGTATCGATAATTGCCAAATAAGATTAATTGTAGTAGGAGCATCACATGCGAATGCACCTGCTGTACATTGTGAAAAGGCAACGAGAAGGCATAAATTTAAACGAGAAGGAACTAGTAACTTAAAAGGAAGTGAAAGTGAAGGAAACCTATTAAGTTCTGAAAGCTCTGTAGGATCTTCATCAGGGGCACAGTCCGGCTAAAACTTTCAGTGGCTGAAAGGGTGTCAGATGATTGCACCCACAACTTAAATCCATCCCACAACCACCACAGATGCACATCCCATTAGCCGGAGAGAGCTCATGCTTGTGTTACTGGAAGGCAACCAGTGCAACGTGAACTGTGGAGGTGAATGTGAAGATGCTCAGGAGAGCGGCCAACTCCAACCAACAGCCACAAAGAAATTACCCAGCCCACAAGGCTACGTTGGACAAACGTTGTTATCAACGTTCCGAGCATTTATTCAATGTTGATTCAACCTTATGTGTCAATCGTGTGCTGCATATGTTCAACCGAAAACCGTGCCCGAAAGATCTCTCTGCTAAACCAGGCTCTGAACGAAAAGAACAGACAAAATGAAAAATTCTGCTACCCTGGGGTGCAAAAAAAAACCGCGCCGCTCTTTGAAATTTTTTGGCGCCAATGAAACAGCAGCTAAAAGGACGAAGTTTCTTCCATACACACCTCTATGCATGCTTTGAGCATTCGAAAATTTTTGACCGTATATCTTCAGCCATTTTAGAACAAGAGTGATTTCGCAAAAGCAACTTGAATTATATTTTTGCACTCGCATCTGGACGTTGACGGGAGAACCTGTCCCACTCTCGAAGAATGACGATTCTTTCCAAGGGTTTTCTCCTCTATACTTCAGAATCCGTTAATCCTCTGAGTCGTCCTTACGTCTGGCAATTTGCAGATGGGAATTTTGCATCTCAGAATTATCATCTTGGGAAACAATGACTTCTTCCACATGTACGTCATTTCCTGCAGTTTCTGCTAGTTTTTGTCTTACGCTCCTTCTCTTCCTTTCAGATGAACCGCTTTCTCGCAGTTTGTGAATCAACCCTTAAAAAAAATTTTTACCTCAGTTTCACTGTCCGAATTTTACCGTTCCCCTCTCATTTACCGCTTTTTTTTTACCTACATTTTATTGTAGTTTTACCTGTGCTTCACTTCTACCCCAATTAACCGTTCTTTTACCCGTCATTTACCTTTTATTACCTACAGAATATCCCTTACCCCAGACTTACCTCTTATTTCAAGAATACTGATGTACTTGTCACTTCATATGATAGGTGTAACATTAACACTGAGTCTATGATTAAAATATGTTAATCACAACACCCATATGGGTGCTGTGATCTAAGAATGAAAGCATGACTTACACAAAAGAATCACATCGTGAAATAGTCGGTAAAATGTATTTCTAAGCTCACGACTTGTCGGTCTGATCATTAGTCTGATCATACACATATGTATAGAGTGGATGAGTCTGCGTGATCTTGGACTAGCTGATGGAGACAGTCAACCGCACGAGTCTTGTTTCCTCGAACATTGATGTATACAGACACGATAATAAATTTGTCGCATTGCACCGCCACCATATCTAGGTCGTCATTTGCTACTTTCATTATTTCTTCTGGGCTATCACACCATTCAGACCGGACGTAAACTGCGACGCCACCTCCCGATTTCTTTTTGTCATTTTGCCTGTCAACACGATGAATCGAGAATCCTGGTAGGGCCACACTCTCATTTGGATGCCGATCGTACAGCCAAGTTTCTTGGATGCAAAGCGCGCATAGATGCATAGATGGAAATTTCAGCAGCTCCTTCAGTGACACAAGTTTCGGTTGTAGACTTCGGATATTTCCACATAGAAGAACGGGGGAAGGTAGTCTACTCAGATCACAATCTTTCGGAGCGCAGTCCACGTCAGCATGATGTCGAAAAATTCCAACTGATCGCACGTTCATGTCAAACGTTGTCTGCCAGTACTCCTGCATGGTGCGGAGGCAGTTTATCCCAATCTGTGACGTCATGTGAGCAAGTCCTATTGCTACTATTGTTGGCGCAATGACAGTGATAAGGCCTAGAAACATTTTTGAAGATCTTTTATTACTGGCTTCCATAAGCTTCTTTTACTGTCAAAAATGCATGTTGTCAATCGCGCACCGCTATGGAGAAACACCCGATATGGATTGCCATGTACACAAGCCAATCCGTTCCTCTAATACGCAGGATGAAAAATGTTGGCTTCCCTGCTTTGTCAATCGGAAGTGGAGCTTGGGCAATGAGCCAAAGGATTTCAAAGTTGGCATGCAACTTTGCTGCCGAGTCTGAAGTGGTTAATCACGACTTGGCTTACACCCCTGAGTGAGAAAATGCCCCAGCAAAAATGATGCATCATTTGCAGCTAGAGATCTCATCCCCTGTAAATCACAGAGAGGCAATTCCAGGGATGACCGAAATTTCCCACTTTTCTACCTTTACAGGGCTGTACAGTATATATTTTTGGCATATTCTGCTTCTTCCTGGGAGTTGGTATTTGTATTAGGAATAAAACCATGGGGAGTTTATTTTCAGCAACTCAATATTAATGTGTTTCTCATGTGTTTCAGAAATGACTACTTCTAGCATTATGAACAAAGTAGCGCATGAGATCTACTTGGTTGCAGGAAAGATTAAGGGTGACATGCACCGAATCCGTTTAAGCTAAACTAATCTGATCTCACAATGGTTCCCTATGGGAATCAGTTTAACCAAGATAAACTTATTCCCATAGACACCCACTATGAAAATGAATCAGTTTAAAGTTAAACGGATCTGGTGCATGTCACCCATTATGTGTGGAATTGCAAGATTCATTTTGCCTAGATATGAGGTTCAAATCAGTGAAACATCATATACAAATAAAAAATTCGGATGTTGACATAATTTTAAGAAGAGGTATGATCACACTGATGTATTTAAGGAGGAGATCGAATGAAGAACGCGGAAAGTGAAGGGAAAGCAATCAAAAGAATTTAAAAAAAGAGCTCTAAACATTATATAAGATATAACGGTATGACATTCTTTTTCAAATTATACTACAGGGTGTCCCATAAGTCCCTTTACCCCTGAACCTTTTCCTTGTAGAAGAGGGTAGCAAAATGAAACTTATGCAATTAGTTATTTATGTATTTTTACATTTATTGTGACATTTAATAACACTCGGTCGACAATGTAAAGGGGTTTTGGTCACTCATATCTTCCGCCAACTTCACATATCCTTACTGTGATTTACCAGGAAAAAATGAAGGTAAAGGGACTTAATGGACACCCTGTACTTCCCTCGCAAAATGAGGACTGCAAGATCGACGAGATTACATCGTCGAAGGATTTGGTCTCTCACTCTTAAACTCGAGCAGCTAACGCAGCATTCCTTTTCCTACTTTCTCAGTCTCACATGTAACCTCTCAACCTCTATGACTCTTGCTTCATTTATTCTCTCTCCTTGTGCGATCGCCTCAGGAGCTCACCACCATACTATTCAGATTTATTTCGCTTCTGGGTCCCTCTGTGTCTTGTTCGGCTTCTTTTTTTTTCTTCTGTTGCTTGTTTTCGCTACATCTTCCTCAAGCCAAATATTTTTTCTCAGAATCTGGAATTATTCTGTCTTCCGCCTGGGAACGTAGGGTAAAATACCCAGTAATGGGCCAGCCCCCAGTGATGGGCCACTGCGCAGTAAAAATCCAAGAACTAAGCATGCATAGCACACACACATCTATAGTGACGTGTTTACTTGCAGGAGGATTTTGCCGATCCATGCAAAACCCCGGACTCCGGCCCGAGCAGACAGGTATGAAACAGATAAATAAATGTTGGATCCCCATCAGAAAGTTCACGTTTTCTTGAACTTCGTGTTAAGATAGGTGCTTGTGCATAAACTGTATATCTAAGTGTACGTATGGTCGCGAACATCATTGAAATGTGTTCACACATCTGTTGACGTAGTCTCGTGCTAGAATCTCAAATTTGACAATCATCAAGAAAGCTATGATTGAGGGTGGCCTATCACTGAATCGACATGCACAAACTTACCCAGTGATGGACCACCTGGGCCATAACTGGTGCAGTGAATCGATTCGTGTTGTCTTAATGATGGGCCAATATATATTTTCGGAAGGATGTTATGCCTCCATAACTGATTATTTTCGTTACAGAATGCCTAACACTCCAAAGGTTCCACCAGAATTTTACAGCCAGCAGATGTGTCCATTTTCCGACCGTTGATAGGCAATTGGAAGGCTGCTCTCTGTTCGTGACATAAGGATCAATCAAACCAGGTTGTGGCCAGAAGAGACTTTGCTGCTGTCCTGCAGGTGGCTATGGGAAAGATCACAGTTCAATGCATTGTGAATGGCTTTCGAGTCTGTGGATTGTCGCCATGGGACCCAGAAAACGTGGATTATTCACGCTGTCTCGGAGTGAAAAAAAATCCCACGACGTCCTTGCTTTTGAAGAAGACACTGTTATTAGACCCACCACGTCTCCCTGCAGGACTTCAAAGACATCGTAAGGGGAGAGCTCCTCACTGAGCTCGAGAAAGGGATTCAACCCCAAGAACAGGAGGATATCTGGACTGTTATGGTCAATCTGCATCGTCACTTCTTAAGTGTCAATCCCGCTGCACCACTCCATGACACGGATCCAGATGCTGCTGCTGTTCCTGATCCAATGGTAGGCAATCCTCCTCCAAGTTTCTTCCCCCGTCGACCTGTCAGTCCTCTCTATGCACAAATCGGGGCAGTTCCTGATGAGTCCCATATTGAGTCTGAAGAACTTGGACGTCCGGGAACTTCCATCAATGACTTTCTTGTTTGGCCCCCCAAACTAAAGGGCTCTCGCAACATGAAGCGGTTCCCTTGGACATTGTCCAGTAAGAAATGAAAAATGTTTCGGGACAAGGATGACGGAAATTAAAAAAATGGAAATGCAGAAGGAACAACGGAAGAGAGTCCGAGAGGAAAAAAAAAGAGCTGAAAGAAATTGAGGAAAAGAAACGGAAGGATGAACGGGAGGCCAAGAAGAAACAACAGAAGAGTGTTGCTGGTGAACCAGAGGGAGCTACGGGGAAACAGAAGAAAAGGTTAGAAGATTTGGTGACTGTGACTAACGTTGGACCGACAAAGAAGCCCGGAGAAAACAAGGGAACCGAGGGACGGCGACTCACAGTAAACACATCCCGAATGATGACGACGAGGAATACTAAAAGAGCTATTGATGCAGTAAATTGATGCAATGTGACAATAAAGACAGCTTGACGACTCTGACGTTAATACCTTTCATGCCATCCAAATCCACCGATAGATTGATGCGAAAAAAGAGGGTGGACCATCACTGGATCCAACCTGGTAGATGACTGGAGTAAACCGGTCCATCACTAAGGCTTTTCGGGCAATGTTGTAAAAAAAAATTTTGCCAAAAGAGCAATGAATATTTGAAGAAACTATTCCTACCTGTGCTACTACATATAAATTACAGTTCACCTCATCCACTTCATACCATCCTCATCTAAAAAATACTACTCAGAGAGAGCTTCAAAGTGCAAATACGTCCTTATGTGGCCCATCACTGGGTATTTTACCCTACCCCTTTCCACTCCTTCCATGACCCTATCAATGACACTCGAAGGTAGACTTGAATTAAACTCAGCTTCAGAATGTCACACAGACCCTTTTGTCAGATAAAAAGTATGGACCTATGACAGTGTTAACAGCGAAAGACATCTGGATATGTAGTCAAATTACCTTACTCCAGATTTGGACTGAGCTGGATTGACAAATGAAATTCAAGAAGACGGCGCACCAGTTCACTTTGCCGTTGAAGTACGAGAATTTCTTTCGGAAATTTTCCCCGTTTGGATCGGTCGTTCTGGGCCGTTAGAGTGGCCTCCTCAAAGTCCTGATTTGACAACTTGCGACAAGTCATGGTCGTTTATAAATGAGGTGTCTCATTAGCGAATGCGAAATGTGGATGAGCTTAAAAATGCTGTGCGTGATGCTTTTGTGAAATAAATAAATAAAAAATGCTAAGAAATGCATCCAGGCGCGCACGGCGCCGAATTTCTATTTGCTTCCAACATGGAGTCCACATGGAAACAGTCAACTATTAAATGCGTCACGGTCAGTTTAAAATATTGCCCAATTTATCACCCTTTGTGCATGAAATTCCTCATCGAAGAGTAATGGAGAGAATGTTTCATTCGAAACATCGAAAATGACATAATTGCCGAAATCGTAAACCTCGGAGTAAAACGCATCCCTCATGGATGCATATGGATTTCAATATCTCGGATATTCTATTGCTTCTCGCCCGTTCTTCCAAAGATATTCTTCACATACAGAATGCTAGCAATAACTTACGAACCATCTAAAAGCGGATTACGAGAGGTGTAATTCCCAATAGGAAATAACTGGAAAACCATCGTAATCGTGTCGATTGCGAAGGAGGTCCCCAACAGATAGGTTGACTGTACGACCCAGGTCACTCACGTCCATAGGCGGCGATTTGTTGAGAAAAATGAGGGGGGGGGCTCAGAGACAGTACTCTTGCAAATATTCCTTATTCTCATGTCCTCGCTGTCCTGGCTGGGCGACCCTTCTGCCAAATTTTTGAGGGGGCTCGACGCTTGAGCCCCTGAGCCCATATGAATCGCCGCCTATGCTCACATCCATATCATCCCCCCTCTCCCCTTCCTCAACCATCTCTTCACCGTGAGAGACCGAAAATCCCATGATTATCACTGAGCACAGAAAATATTAAAGTTTCTGGGTTTTTCATTGCATATCCCCTAGGGAAGAGAGCCGTCGGCCGGCTTCCTCCCGCCATCTTATGGGAAGTCTACAAACTTGCCGCTACAGCAAGGCGGTCATGGTGCCGGAAAATTTTTGACGAGGGAAGAATATGGCAATATACCGGATCGCTCGGGTCGAGGAAATCCGTGACAGCGTAGGCCTACGCTGAGCTATCCCCGATAGGTACTACGTTTAAGCCTCGTTCAGGCTTACATCTTCGTCTTCGAAAGGCGTCACGGACTTAGACGAGGGGACTCATGTTGGCCTCATGTTCTGGTGTGCTTGCTTATTTTATTTATTTATTTATTAAAAATTTTTTCTTTTCCCCCTTCACAGTATTTACGTTAGGCGCACACCACTGAACACAGGCGAACACCACAATAGAGGAAACTCAGAAAACTCCGTGATTCGAGAGTACTCCCTCCAAACACTGACAGCGAGGATGGCCTCGCTGTCAGTGTTAAGAGGCCTAACGTTAGGCGCCTATGGTTGGAGAAAGAGGCCCATTCTCATTATATTAGCCATTTTTAATTGGCATGAGGACTGGAGGTTAAGGATCTCTTACTCTTACTTAACTTACTCTTTTCTTGGCTTCCGGTCTTGGGTAAATTTTGCCGTAATGAGTATCACCAAGTCGCAAACAAACGTAAGCCCAAGTTGGTCTAAGGCTGATTTCAGAACGGTAGTTCGGTTCTAGTTTCAGTTCAGACTATGGTCTGATGGAAGTTCCACTGTGGTCAAAGCAACTACTCACATAAAATCCTTACTGGAACTGCAACTGAACTAAAACTGAATTGCAACTGAACTGTGACTGGACTGCAGTTATGAAATCAGCCTGAGACTAGGGAAGGGTGAATGAGTTAGAACAGCTCATCTGAGTGTGGAAAGCATGAACACATGAGTCTCCTTGAAACAAAAGCCCCATGCTCCACTTACTGTCAAAACTGAAGCAGCACTGAAAAATTTATAGAAAGAATTGAATTAATCTGCATTTCATCTGTATCAGACATACTTAGATACCTTGGCATTTGTCATATATACATTCTTAACAGCAACAAGTTAGTCAGGTAATGGTTTGATCCCTTTCAGTGCTACTGTTGGACATATCCAACAGTAGCATGCCATGCCTCCACAGCTCATGTTGGTCAGGTTTGAAACACCCACCAGTTCGCAATTTATTTTGACACAGAGGAAACAAGACACTCATGACATCTCTTGAAGGATACTTTGCAGGTAAATAATTTCTTATTTGCATGTCAACATTCTGAATACAAAACATAAAAAATGCTTAAAATAACTCAGCACAGAGCAGTGAGCATTGGCAAATTATTACATAGCATCGAAAGCATTAAGGAGTAGCAGGATAGTTCTCTATCATCCTTATCATTTTCCTGGCACTTTCAAAGTGATGTTCCATTTTTTCCTTGCAAAACTGGCTATCCAGTTGCTCCAGCAGCAGTAGAACTTCAACTTCCTCCTTGAAATACCTTTTGAAATGAAATGCCCTAAAATGCCTTATCCTGATCATTTCCAAATGGACTCCCATGTGTTCACAAAAATTGTAGTTTTGGAATTTGTACAGCTGTTTGCATGTCTGTAGTGTGGCAAATGTATGGTGGCTTTGTCATGCTGTAATGCCACTTGTTCATCATCCAGAACACTATTAGGGTCATATAGTTATGGACTGACTTGTTTAGATAGGAACATTTTATGAATATGTTAGCCGTCCCTGCTCAGTCCTTGGAATTTTCTAACCCACACAAGACACTTTGCAGAAATGCAATAAAAACTCCAACTGATCAGGAGCTTTAAAAATCTCATGATATCTCCCTCACCATCAATCTCATTTGGTTTCATGTTAAAGAACAAATCATTTTATTAAGTTATTGTCACAATGACAATGTAACATTGGTATTTAGTAGGCCTAAATAATTTTGGCAGCTTCCCAAAGGTCTAGGCCTCTTGATTACTTATAATTCAGCTGAATCTTGCATTTCTTACATCTTTGGATTTTAGGTATTTGTTCTTTCCATGCAGTCTTCAAATAGGCCTACTGGAAGTATCACATTTTTGTGAGACTGCTCCTTAAGAGAGTTTCTAGAGGAGAAGACCATAGGAGAGGGATGGCAACCACTCCATCGCCAAAGAGCCCTGAACAGTCTGACAAGACCAGGAGATATGATCGACAGCTGAGGTCAGTTTGAAAATCCAATCATGTTCTGTTTTGTGACTTGTTCTTGTTGAAGAGTTCAAGTCGTGAAGAAAGCATGCCCTAGACTCAAGCATTTCTTTTTATGTGATCTTTGATCTCCATGCTACCTAGTAATTGAACTTGGGCATCCTGTCATTAATATGGATGTTTTGCCTGTCAGGAAAACATTCTGATGACCATCTCTATGGTTCAGTTATGTTCTTCATAAGATACAGATGGAAAAGTCCCCCCATGATTTGTCCTCCTCTTAACCCTTTCATAGGCAGATGGAAATTTAAATCTCCAAACACCTTCTGGTGGGGTCAGTGGAGGAGGCATTGGGGTTTCCTGGGCATCAGGAGATGTCAATGCTGTGAAAGGGTTAATGGGCTCCCTGAGCACAGATTTGAGAAACCCTTTTATCAGACTGAATTACAGAGCCTAATTTAATTGTTTCAAGGATGGGACTGCTAAGCAGAAGCCAAGAGTAGGAGGCAAAGACCGATAGAAACACAATATTCTGAAGTAAGATTAGTCAGAGGCAGAATACAGCAGTGGATGTCCCATCACATTCCTGATGAATTCACTCCTGAATGTGAATATGTGAAACATACCAGGTTTGACACAAATCACATAAAATCATATCAGAATGAAAAAATATGCCCCCATATATTTTCATATATTGGCTCATAAAAATGCATAATATCCTGTCTATATACGCCATGTCATATCTATGTATGGTGAGATTACCTGAAACATGCCTGTATCCTATAAGCATCCATAATCCATCAAATACTGTATAATCATTCATATGCAAGTCACCATACTTTGCTTACTTTTCTTGCAATCAACTCATTTTTAATTGTTCATAGACCATAGTCAATTACTCCAAGAACTCATATTTCATGGTGTTCAACATATGACATAGCACCCTTGTTACTGAAGGTGAAAGTTTCAATATTACAGACTTCGATCTTTACAAGTATTTTCATCAGTAATGCTATTTCTTGACAAAACTTGGCTTACTCATGTTGGAGTGTCTTCTTCATTTTGACTGACAACTCATAAGACAGGGAACAAAACCATATTTCTTCTGAAATAATGGTTCAATGAAGTAAATTGAGTTAAAGTTTGAAGATGTGTCTTTCTTCATTTCTTCTTTCTTTTGTGTCACATCTCACACGTGTGTTTATGGGCAAGGGGGAGCCCCTGGCATCCTTCTGATAGGGCTTGGCATCCCCACTCTGCTGCCCTGTCTCCCTGACTCTTCAGCCAAAATATGCCACTGACCTCATGTTATGTTTTACTTACAACCATAAGACTTGTCTATGGATATTCCCCACATATCAGACATGATGCCATTTGTCCATTTAACCTAGTATTGTAATGGGGGTAAAATATATTATACACAATACAATTGATAACATATGAATACATATATGGTGGCATATAGCAAATATATGATCATACATGGCCATATAGGATCATACACCCTGTCATATATGGAATTTTCATGTGGGCAGTTATCTACAGTCATTGTAGTTTGAGGCAACTGTTCCCCAAGCACATCCCCACAGGTCTGGCAACATTTCATGAAGTTGTTCATTGTACAATGAAACATATCCTCCGGAATACCAGCAGTTTTCACTTGCATGCTTGCCTCTTAGCTCCTGAACTAATCTTGGCTTTGTTGCATAAATTTCCTCTTTGAAGTGTCCCATAGCCTAAAGTCTGCAGGAGTAGGGTCTGGGGCTTCACAGGCCACTCAGTGGACCTGCATTGTCCAATCCAATGACCATTGATATTGCCATCAACATTGCATGTACTGTGGAATTCTATTGAGCCAATGTTAAGTGAGCATCATTCCAGACACCACCATTACCAATAGTGTTATTTGCAGGAGGTTTATTATGGAAATTTCCTTTTGCAATGTGAAATAAATGTATAAAATGAAAATCATTGCAGCAAAGCAGAACTCTTCATTATTCTACCAGAATTTTTCAAAAATGGACAATATTTATAGAAAATGTTTCTTATGCGTATGAATAAAGGTTTTGAGAAATTCCACTGAAGAAAAAGTTGGGACTTAATGAATCATGAGTGGGCTGTCAAGCATTCCTAAGCAGAGGAAAATTTAATGCTTCAGAAAATCAGTTCAAACTGTACCATGATGTGGGAGTGTGAGAAGGAATATGTATGGAACTGGCCTTTCTGTGATTAAAGTATACATTTTATTTTCAGATTGAACTGTGAAGTCCAGATGACTACATTGCAGGGTTAAGCAAAATTGGATGTTTCAGGCTGTGGGGAGATCATGGTCAACAGGCTTTGGAATCCTCAAGTGTATGTCTCATCAATGCATCAGCTGTTGGAACAGAGGTCCTCAAGAGCCTCATCCTTCCTGGCATTGGGTCCTATACCATCATCGATTCACATAAAGTCACTCCACAGGATACTGGGAACAAGTGAGACCATTTGCAAACTTCTCAGATCTGATGTGATTAGCACCATCTTAGGTGACAATTATTTTGTTCCATCTCTGCAATATCTCATTTTGGGAAAATGCAAGAGTAACTTTTGAATTTCTCTGCATCAGTATTATTGAATTCTTAGATTAGTAGCTGTACATGTCATCACCTTCCTTCTTACATTCAATCTTGCTTGCAGAGTGGTCTTTTGGTTGACCTGATTTTACATGGTATAGAAATAAAGACCAATGACTTTTAACCTATCCCAACATGAAAGATCAGTCAACTCTTTCATGGGCTGTGGGAAGTATTCTTCTCAGAAAACACTTGACCCTCCTAGTGCCCTGGAAGGGCATCCTCCCACTGTATCATCCATTGGTGACCTTAGTAGACAAGGAATAATTCCCATCACAAATATGAATTTTTTTTACATTTGGGGGAAAAACTGAAATGGGGGAAAACCTCCACAAGTGGGAGAAGAAAATATACTGGGTTTTATAATTTGCACATGAGAAATAATTTTCCCACAAAAGGGTTAACATGTTATATGAAGTAAACATATACAACCACCTGAATGAATGGAAAGTTAGAGGAATGTGTTCAGGCTGGATTCCTAAGGATCATTACCATAATGGTGCTCTCTTTCACCCATTTGGTTGATGTTTTGGTTTTTTGGTTTCTTTATTTATTGTATTTAGTTTTTTCCCCTTTTTTATTCATTCTGGTTTTGTCCTTGCCTTTCTCTTGCTTTGCTTCTTCTCATTCTGCTCTGCTCGCATGTGGAACCCCATATTTGAATGAAAATGAATGAAACACATGAAATATGACATATGTGGTTTATGGTGTATATACATGGTGGGGCAAAAAAAAAAACTGCTGTCATTTTTGGTGAATCATTGATCGCATCACTGGCTGCCAATTCTGATTAAATTTGGTAGGCTTATAGGATGACACATTTGTAGTTTTTATGCAGAATTTCAGTCTTCTGGCTCTAAAATTATAGGAGCTGTAATTATTTTCTGGTGACCCACAACAAAATGTGCTGTAGAAAATATCAATATGATATTTCAGCCCACTTGCTCACCTGCCCCAAGGGGGTTAGAGTTGTTTCCATAAAATCCATTAAACAGAATATATTCCACTTCATGATTGGGAATGCATTTAACTGAGTTGATGGTATTTCCAATGAGTTCCATAAAAAAAAACTTTATATTTCTAATTGATTCTATCTCATGCACACAAATTCTGTGCATGTAGCATTGCACTTACAGGATGGACGCATATTTATCACACATGTCACAAGTGTTAATTTATCTAGTGGATCAGTTTTTGCCCTATCATTCTCATTACATAGAACAATTCTCTGCCTCATTTCCCATTTGAGGTCTGGTTGACAGCTTTCCTGTTCTTGGCTTATCTTTTATGTCACCTGCTGTGAAGAGTTTATGCTCGCATAACAAATAAGTATTTTTTGAAGGAGCTTCTTGGTTGAATCGTTGCTAGAAATTAACACTTCTTCTTCCATGGTCTTCCCTGTTTGTGGATGTTTGTGAACTCAGACACTGGCAACAATATGTTGTTCAATGTTGTAATAGCTTGCATCCCTCATGATCATGTTCAACAAACCTATTTTTAAAAATGAAGAAAAGAAAGGAGGACTTGTAGAAATTGCTGCAGGGGTGACAAGACATTATGGCCACTCTATGTATAGAATCAGATTTTACTATAATGCTTGCAAGTTCAAAACAGTTGTCTTTGTGGCATGGCTTCAACAGATATATGAAGTTGGTCAAGATGATACCTGATGATGCTGAGCGCCACAATAAATAATTATGCCGTTTTTCATTTTAACACATTCACTGCCAAAGTCGACTATGGTTGATTTATGAAACTCCTACTTAAAATGCTTCCCAACCTGGGAGGTGTCACCCCCTGAATGCGTGAAGGTTCAATGGGAGTAAAAGGAAGGTTGATAACCACTGCTTTAGACACTTACATTAACGTTTCAAATTTCCCACTCCTCCAGAGACCTACAATCCCTCATTGCTTACCAGTCACTGCAGATGAGCCACAAGTTGCAGCTGTGTGCTCAAAATGCTTGAGAGAGGAATAAATTGAGGAAGAACTTTTTTAAGTTATACATAGCAAGAATAGTGAAACCTGATTTTTATTATTTCTGTGGTAAGTGCCATTTCATTACACATGGTTTCACACCCTCACACTAAGTAATTATTGCAATTTAAGATTTTAACTCTTCAGGGTAGGCCATATGCTGAGTGGCCTGAAAAAAACATTCCGAACTTTACATGTCTGCAGATGGTGTACCATACAAGTTATTGACAGGAAATTTACAAGCTTTTTCATGCAATGTTTGCAGGTAATGTAACAAAAGTTTCATTGAAATTGGTTGTAAACTATGTGAGTAACAATTTTTCTCCCTTACGATGTTAAAAGAATGAGTGTGCAAAGAAACATGCCTGAACTCAATGAAAGAACTGCTTGATGGGTACTCCATGGATCTGTCCTCCTTGGATCGCCCGCCGAAGCAGCATCCCAGCAAACGCACTGACACATTTGCTCATTTGATGTTTTGTACGGAAAGAGCTCTTGCTCATGGTCAGAGCAAGAAATTTCATTGAAAATTTCCTAAAGCCACCTACCTATATTGGATATGATGCACTGAAAATTTCCAGACGATGCTTAGCATGGTGTCCTGTCTGCAGTCGCATGCAGTTCTGAACTTTTTTTGGGGCCACCCAGTATATGCGCATAAAATCAAAGTCTCAAATTTCTTATACTAATAATTTCCTAATTGAATCTGTAGGATATACAGACTCACTTTAACTATTCACAAAATATCTTCAATGTATTCCTATTATTCCTGATGGCACCCTGCAATATTTTAGTCTTCTGGTCTATTACACTACATGGATATACAGGGTGTCCCAGAAATGTTGTCTAACATTCGAACTTAGGTAACTCTTTTTTATTTTCATGCAAATTACATTGGATTTTCTTTGCCTTTTACATTTGCCCTGTACTATATAAATACATGATGGAATGTGCCCTAGAAGATGATGTTATGTTTGCAACCTGGGCTATAACATATGGGAATGATTCTGAGAGTCATCACCAATTCAGAAGGGAATATGGAAGAGAACCACCATTCGTGAAATAAATTAACAGGTGGAGAAGAAAATTTTTGGAAACTGGAAGTCTTCAAAATAGCCTACCTTCCAGTAGGAAAAGAACATCAACACGACCTGATATTACAGAACAGATTCTTACCAAGATCCACCTGGGTCCAAAGAAGTCTGTGCAATAGATGTCACACGAATTGGCAGCCAGAGGCCCAATAACTTCGAAGTCATCATTCCATCGAATGCTCAAGTGCGAAAAGTTTAGTACCTTTAAGCCTGTTCTCATGCACACGCTTAATGATGATGACTGACAAGAGGATTGAATTCTGTGACTGAGATTAATTTAGATTAATGAGATTAGTGAGATTAATTTCTCTGATGATGCAAGTTGTGTCTTTTTACTTGGCCTGACATGCTGAATCGGCGATGACTCTCAGAATCATTCCCATATGTTATAGCCCAGGCTGCACACATGACTTTGTCTTCTATGGTAAATTCCATCATGCATTTATATAGTCAAGGACTTACTGTAAAAGGCAAAGAAAATCCCATGTTATTTGCATGAAAATAAAAAGAGTTATCTAAGTTCAAACATTGGACATTTCTGGGACACCCTGTAGTTCCACGCCTCTTTCAGCACCAGCCTCAACTGTTTTGGTTGCTGCATTTTATTTTTAGGTACTTACCTCAAGCAGACTCCACTTATAATAATCTATTGGATTACAGTCAGAATTGTAAGGCAGCCATTCCTGGTTTGGTTTTTTTAATCATTCTGCTACATGGCCTGCTAGAGAATGTTTGAATGTCAAGCCATTTGATTCTGAGAAGGAGTCCAGCTGAAACACTGAAGATTGGCCACCAAAGAATCACTAACATATGCAGCATGTCCCATAAATGTGTGCCAATGGTTCCAGACTTATGGAACACCCTGTTTATACCAAATCTTTTTTCTGATATTTTTGAGCTTGCAGAAATTGAAATTTGTATGTGGTATGAATATTTATAACCCACCCTGTAATAGACTTGTTAATGTGATGTTAAAATTTGTTTTTATGAAACAGTTCACACATTTTCACAAACCCCAAAAAACACTGGCAGGCTAGTGACGATCCCAGTTTAAAGGTCCAACAGCGAATGTTTAAAAAAATACTTACGTACGTTTTATTAGCATTAAACTTAATTTTACTTTTTAATGTTTACTGTACAAAAGACTAGACATTGGCTTCCTAGCTGTATATTTTAAAGGTTAATCAAAAGTGTTAAGGAATATGCAATTCCTGAAAGCATATGGAGAATTCCATCGGAGAATACCTGAATTTACTGGACTTCTGTGGCCACAGAACACTGAAAAGTGTGGACACTTTCACCCTTGTGGAAAAGGATCTTATTTGAAGGAGTCAGGAGGAGAAAACAGCACTCCTGTGATCTCATATTCTAGCATCAGAGGGTTTGTGATGAAAAAGTGGTGGACATAGGTTTATTTAGCATATGTTCCTGAGAAATATAAAGACAATCATAAAATTCTTGTTCATTTCCTTCATTCACTGAGTCCAGCTCCTTCAGTTTCTCATCCTCACAAATCTGATGAGCCAAGAGTACATCATAGTGAGGTCCTTTCACTTATTAACCTCTTTACAGAAATAGGACATGCATGCAAACTGTCCAAGTGAGAGATAAAAATTTTGGCATGTCTACATATGAACAACCAGTAGAGAGAGAATTTACCTTCAAGATGCTCTTTGAACTTAGCCCTATGTGACTGTAGTTTTTTATTTTTCTGTATTGTGTTTAGTTATATGCAGTCCATTAAACTTGAAGGCATTGCTGGATGCAAGAATGTTAGTTGCAATCAATGGCACTC